CTGGGCCTCATGCATTCTAGAAAAGTGTTCTTCCACTAAGCTTCATCCCAGCTGTAAGTTTTAATCTGTAATAGAGTACTGAGACCAAAAGGTTTAAGGACCCCAATCTAGAGGAAAAAACACTGGATAGAGAGATTGGATATCTGGGTTGCAATAAGGTTTTACCATAGACTGCATGTGACTTCCTAAAACCTTTTTGGGAATGAGTTAGGAAATGGACAGACAGATAAGTGGGTAGTGGATGGATGAACAGATGGATGGATGGAAATGAGGATGAATAAAAGAAAGCATGAAACATATACATTTTCTTAGTCCATTCTGGTATCATTCTGCTTAGGTTTAATCCTGTTTCTGCCATCTATAGGCTCTGTGACCTTGGACAAGAGACATGATTTTTTTAAAGCCTTAATATCTTCATCTGCAAAATAGGGACAATAATAATACATCAACAGGTTATAAGAACTGAATAAATCAGTCCATGTTGCTTACTTCACTGACCTTGCCATATAGAAAACCTTCAATATATGTCAGCTATATTATTATTATTGTTTAATTTGTTATGGGATCTTGCTGGGTCTCTATTTCCTCATATGTAATGTTAGGGAGTTCAAGGACCTACAATTTTCCTTCCAACCCTAACATTTAGTCACCATCATCATCATCACCATTCCAAACCATGATTGAGCTCTTAAATTCTCAGCCATTGTGCTAAATGCTTTCGTGGATGACTTCATTTAATTCTCACAACAATGCTCTGAATTAGAATTAGGTATGCTGCTGTCATCTCCATTTTTCTTAAGAGAAGACTGAGACCAGACCTACTGTCTGATTGGTCTAGGATAGAAAGCTGAGTCTCAGGTGCCATGACACACATCTGTAATCCTGTAACATCCTAAGAAATGCTTTATCCCTGAGAGCCTGTGAGTCTTAGCCTTCCTGCTCCCGCGTTTGCATCAGCATTTTATAGTATCTTCATGGTGTTTAATTAATGAATTTTAACATAAGATCTGTCCGTTGAATACCTCACCAGAGTCACACAGGGAGAAAGTAACTATCAAACTTGAACAGAGTCATCTAAATAGCAAATGTTATTTGTTCAAACTAGATGTTCAAACTGTTTCCCCCCCATACTGAGAAAGAATGGACAGTCCTACCAGCTAAAGTGGTGCTTGTAGTGCTTTTCTGGAATGTTCATTGGAGAGCATTCTTACTGATAGAAACTATAAAAAAATATGTATAGGTCCCAAGAGAAAACTTGGTGATTTTTTTTATAAAGTTGCTTTAGATCTAAATGACAATAAAAATACAAAGTTTTGCTAAAGTTAGGGAGGTCAGGGATATATTTTGTGGAATCAAAATAAAACATCTCTGTTTGAAGAATACCATTTTGACCAAAGTTGCCATATATAAGCTTATGACACATCCGAGATTGTGTTGCAGAGCTGTGACCACAAGGAGAGACCAGGGATCACTGTGCCATTGGGCTTAAGCAAGGCCATTTCCAGAATACTGTGCTGATTCAAAATCATGCTGTTTTAATTTCCCCCAGAGCCTCCGAAGATTCGCATCCCAAGGCACCTGAAGCAAACCTATATCCGCAGAGTTGGAGAAGCAGTCAATCTGGTTATACCTTTCCAGGTAATAATCCAGGGGTCCCTCATTTTCCTTTTCAAGGGATGGGGTATTTAAGAGCAGGGGATGAGGCTGTTCTAGCACTTAAGGTCTGCATGATTCAGGATATCCTCAGAGGGAGAGTGAGTCAATAATGGAGGGAGTGATTAAAGGATCTCCTACCATAGAAGTAGAGAAAACTACAAAACTGTCAGATCTTTTTTTCTGCATGAAACAAATGAGATCTAGTCTTGCTCAAAGTTCAGGGAGCTTGGAGGGCAGGAGAGGAATGTCGAAGAGATACCAGATAAAGGAACGGCCGGAGGGCCTCTCTGGTCCTAGCTCTCCGTAACACCCATCCTTTTAAGTGAAGCTCTCAGTGTAACATTCAAGAAAACAAGACACACTTAGTTCCGACATGACCCTGAACCAAGCAAAATTCCAATAAGAGGGATAACCAAGATGTGAAATCTTAAGGCCACTAACATATGTGCTCGCTGTTAAATGGTTGTTCTGGCAAAGGGGCTGTTGTCCTCAAGATTAACCAGGCTTTGCTTATAGTCATCAGGTTGGGTCTCACAGGTACACACGTACACACCCACACCCACTGGGCCTCGCCCCAGAACCCCAGAGTCCTCCACCTCCCTAATCATGTGACTACTTTATGGAACACATTAGGCAGTGCTGTTCAATAGAACTTTCTGTGATGTTCTGTTTATGTAGCCACCAGGAACTAATGCAAGTTTAAGGAAGAGTTTTTTGGGTTTTTTTTAATTTTCTTTAATTCTAACTTAAATAGTCATGTGTGGCTCATGTCTATTTTATCAGGCAGCATGGTCTTGAATTAGAATTTAGATCTCTGCACACATGTGCACACTCAGACACACACAAACACACCACACACACTCACAGAGCTCTGTTCAAACCCAGGTTCCCATGAAAGCCAAGCTAAGGGGACAGCTAATTCTGACCATGTCACTGCATCCAGGCCCAAGCCTTAGAAGAGGTGGTACAGCAGACACAGCACCTGAAATCAGAGCAAAGGCCAAAGCAACTGGGCAGAGCCCAGCGGGGAGGGGAGGAGCTGGCCAGGCTCTTCCCACCTCCTCCCTCCTAGTCTCAAAGGGAGTATGTCACAGCAGGCGGGTGACCCAGTGCCAGCCACAGCCCTACTCTGAGCTGGCTGCTGACCCTGCCCTCCCATTCCAGATCATTTCTACCACCAGGGCTGATTCAGCCTCCCAGATCTTGGGGGTCTCTGTCTTCCATCACTGGGTCTGGGAAAGGAGAAAGCATGAAAACAGGGACTCGTAGGTTGGGCTTCCCAGGAGCCTCTCAGCCACCAGGAAGGGACCATGAGAATTGTGTGCCGTGTTTGTATACCCTCTAGAGCTTCAGACATTTCCTCATCTGATCCTTAGAAACACCCAGTGAAGCAGGGGCTGTAGCTCAGGGTAGCAGAAATGCCCAGTGAGGCAGGAAGGGTAGATATCCTTACCCTCACTTGAGGAGGGAAGAAATTGACAGAGAAGTGAAGTGATTTGCCCAAGGTCACACAACAAGTAAATGGTAGTGCCTACAGCAGAGTCCTTGTCCCCTGTCGCTACTTTTGCCATTCCATAAGTTATTAGAGAACTCAGTTTTTCTCTTGTAGCTCACAGCAAGCTGTGCCTTTAAGGAAAGAAGACGTGGAACTGTTTGTCCTTTTTTTTGGGGGGGGGGGGATACCAGGGATTGAACTCAGGGGCACTCAACCACTGAGCCACATCCCCAGTCCTATTTTGTATTTTATTTAGAGATAGGGTCTCACTGAATTGCTTAGTTAGTACCTCGCTTTTGCTGAGTCTGACTTTGAACTCACAATCCTCCTGCCCCAGTCTCCTGAGCCACTGGGACCTACATTGTTCTCTGCAAGTGTGAGCAACCCCAATTATTCTTTAATCTCCCTGGGCAGGAGTTTAATGTGTATCTACATCCTGTGTCATAACCCAGCCAGCCACAAGCCATGTCTGGAACACATTAGGAAATCTGTGCCTTAACGAATTACTGAATTAATTTCTGAGTTAACTCTTGGTTCTTGTCTGCAGGAGTGAGCCTGGGTGATCAGAAATTCTAGGACATTCCTTTGTAATAGAAACTGAAATTCATGCCCTTGAATCAGATTGTAATTTATCTTTTAAGTCTGGAGGAATAGACGAACTCTAGATAGGGGAGAGTTGTTGGAGGGGAAGGGAGGGGGCATGGGGTTATAAATGATGGTGGAATGTGATGATCATTAATTATACAAAGTACATGCATAAAGATACGAATTGGTGTGAATATACTTTGTATACAACCAGAGATATAAAAAATATCTATATGTGTAATAAGAATTGTAATGCATTCCGCTGTCATATATAAATTTTAAAAAAAAGAATAGCATCAGCAGGTAGAGAGAGCAGAGAGAGAATTCTAAGCAAGTCTGAGGTGAGCAGCACAATATAGTGTATACTAATCATTAACCTTTAGATGATACTAATAAAACATTCCTGAGTATGCAGAAATTTTGTTAGGTCTTCAACTTTTATAACCATCTTGTGAGACAGGTACTATTGTTTCTATTTTACAGATTGGTAAACTGAGGCACAGAGAGTTGTAGTCATTTGCCCAAGATTACACATCTATTAAGTGGTCAGGATACCTTTATATATATGTATATATATATATATATATACATACATACATACATATATGTGTATGTGTATGTATGTGTATATATATATACAC